AAGAAGATAGATCCGGTTAAATTGAAATTGAAAGTGTATCCGGTTTAATTGAAACTGGAAATATACCAATAAGAGTTAAGACCACATTACCGGTTTAGTTTACGAGTGTAATTTGGTCAAATTTACCACAAAATTTGTCTTATAATAGTCAAAATTAGTGAATTACACACAAAAAATCTACTACGTATATTTCTAAAATTATTTCATAGTCATTTAATTATTATATATTTGTCTTTTTGAAAAACAAATAATTTTTATTGGTTTCGTTCTTAAGGAAGTGGAGAGATCTTTTTGCATTGATGCTAGTTAGGTTCTTACAGTAGTCATCCATTTTCTTAGGATCGCCTTACTAAACCAGCTAAACAATAAGTCCTTCATGAATCATGTGCCCATAGAGGAATGGAGACCGATGAGGGAGTTGGAGGACTTATTCCTTGTTTAACTTACCTAAATTGTATTCATGTTGGAGCTTGGTAAGAGATAGGGCTGGGCAAAAACCCGAACCCGATCCTGATCCGAACCCGCTACTGAAAAACATTCGAATGGGTCTATGGTCTTAGTATTTCGGGTTCGAGTATTACCCGAACATGAACTAGTATACCCAAAACAATCTGAAGTTTTGGGAAATTCATATACTTTTGAATATTTACGGTGAGTTTGAGTTTTTTTTTTACGGAATTTTGGGGGTAATTCATATATTTTCGTATATTTTCTGATACTTTGAGTAGTTTAAGTTGTTTTTCTAGGGTTTTTAGGTTATTCGGATATTTCGAGTATTTCTGGGTAGTTTTTTTCTGATAGTTTCGGATCCGACCGAACACGAAAAAAACCGAACCCGAAAGGTAAAACCCAATCTGAACCAAACCGGATAGGAACCAAACCAAACCCAAGCCAAATATTATAAATACTTGAATGGATTCCATCAGCCCTAAACCGAACCGAATATTATATAAGTGAGGAATTTTAAACTCACTGAGACAAAAGAATTGTAGAAGATAGAATAAATAGATCAATGCAAAATGAGAATCTACTAAAATATATGATTGATGAAAAGTAATTACGAAGTCTCGAAACTACTTTATAATTTCTCTATCATATGGGTTATCGATCTTAGTCTGAACTTTAAACTTTCTAAAATCACAAAACATCAGCATGCTATTTAGGTTGATATTACATGTAAGAAGATTTGCTTTTAAGAAGGGATAATTTCATTCGTATAACTAAGATGTTATGCATCAAATTAATACCAAAGTTCACAATCGATTCATATATAAAACTGTACAATATTGTTGACTGTATCGGATAGGCTCTCTTCCGCTATAGTTTTTCCCCACACACTTAGTAGACAAACCTACACATAGATTGTTTCATGGTTAAGACACACCAGACGTTCTCTATATCCTAACCTTGTCAATAAGAAAACTTAATATAGTCAACAAATTTAGACTAGACCATCTCTGGCTTAAGGCGATCAAATGACCCTTCACCAAACTCTCTTTCCTTGCCTTTTGCTGGTTGAAGAGAGGCCGTTTGAAAAGAGAGAGAGAAAGAAAGAGAAATGTTCCGTCGATTATATCGGCGTCCATTAGGAAAACCTCTTCTCTCGCTCCCAACGCTACCGCTCCTATACCCTTGCCTTGAACTCCTAGCTTTTGGTAACGTCGTCGTGTGGCTCAATTGCCTCCGTACCTCTTCCGGTAACTGCAATGTAAATCTGTCAAGGTTCTCTCCAATTGGTACTAGAGAATGTCCCGTTGAATGGGATCTTGGGAACAAAATCTCCGTTATTCTCCAGTTTGACAACCCTGTAGACCTCGATCGAGGCGGTCTGTTTGCCCTGGTGTTATTGCTCCATGTCAATCTATCTAACAAATGTTGATCTGGAGATTCCAATACACTTCTTCGCGCGTTTCCAGTTTCAAGATCATCCATATCTTGATTATCATGTGGGCGTATAAATGGATACAAAGAGATTTGATCACTGCCTGGTTTGGGAAGGAGACTAGCACGGCAAACAGGACATGTGGAGCGAGAAGAGAGCCAGACATCTATGCAACTAGCATGAAATACATGGCTACAAGGAGGCATCAAACGCAATGTTTCTTCGTCCTCAAACTCGTTCAGGCAGATGGCACATTCCACGCCGCCTTTGCCTATCTTTAGCCCTTTAACTTGTGAGTAAAGAAAGGAAGGAAAAGACGTTATCACATCCTTTCCAAGTCCACGGCTTGTTCTCCTCGTAAACGCTACTTCTCCATGACCTCCTTCTTCGGTATCAGAGCTAGTTCCATGAGGAGAAGTGCTTGTGTATTTAAAGCAAACGCAGCAAGCAAACAAGCTGAATAAAAGCGTGAACATAAGCATCCCAATGATTACCGCGGGTATTTGTTTCGGTCTTTGGGCACTATACGGTGGACCAATGGTTCCAGGCTTCTGCTGGCCGGTGACTTGGAGAACAAGCAACAATAGGAAGACAACATGATGACGTCCCAAGATCGGACTCTTTCCGATTGTCATCATGTGAAGAGGATTTTGGTTTTGGCTGTGTTACAAATGTGGAACATCTCTTGAACTCTATCTTCCAAGGTAGGGGAGAAGTCCATGTTCCATGCTATAAAAAATATTTAATTCGGTGAAGTGCATACCACGTTTGATCGTGACAGAGAGTATTAATTATATAATCAAGTTTGAATATTTCATTTTGTTTAGTCTTAATGATTGGTTCGGCTTTGTTCATCTGAAGTTTTGACTTTGAAGAGGTCGTAGGTTTTAAGTTCAACCTCACTTTGCCTCACCCTCTTTAACTAACGTGGTGGTTAAGCGCCTTGACTCTTTCACACAAAGGTTTTTTTTTTAATACTAGTCTGATGGTTAATTAAGTTGAAAACGAGAGGTCAAACATCATAAAAAAGAAACGCAGTCAGAGCAGGTCGTTAACCCTATTTTAACAAAGGTTTTTTCATTTATTATGATTATTTAGAAACACACAAAACCTTTGTTCAAAAAAAAGAAAGAAACACAAAAAACCAAAACATTGTCTTTTGTAATTTTATGAATGAATATAACAATGTTTTGGTATTTATTGAATTTTTCTTGTATTTACACTCCAGTTTTATATAAGAGAAGTAAGCTAATGTTAGATACAAGTATACAACTACATAAAGTCAGAGCTAATCTCAAAAAAAAAAAAAATAGAGTAGAAATTAATTTATTGATAGTGAACATTTATTGTGATATATTTATCTTTGATTTTTGTTTTTGCTATTTCATTAATTAAGCTCAATGCTAAGTGTATGGAAGCTCATAAACAAATTGTTCCTGAACTAGGATCAGTCACCTATAATAAAATTAAAATAGGGTTAACGAACTGCTCTGACTGCGTTTCAAATGTTGGCTAAATTGATTGAGAGAGAAACCAAATTTTTTGCACCGGAGATCATAGACATAGGATAATTAAATGAACAGAGAATCACACCACATATAAATCAATCAATCAAAATGATGATAAGTATGTAGGAAGCTTTTAGATTTGCATTCTAGCAAGTCTACTTTGTATTTCCTTTGTGTCATTCTCCTTTTATGTAGGCTTAACACTTAAATTATAAAACTAACACAATTGTGATGGACTCTCGAAAATACGATTCACATCTATGGTTCATCAACAAATGGGTCAATGCAAATTAAGTCCAAAATTCAAAGAAGTTTTTAGAAGACAATCAATTCATAGATATATCAAGAAAGTGTCTAGATAAAAAGAACCAAACTCCATTAATGATGATTGATAAAATCTTTTAAAATTAATTCTGGATTTATATATGTAATTAATTTGATTTATTTTGCATTTATGTTGATGATTTGTAATTTGAGCCTATATAAGCTTACTTTTCCATCCATTATAAATATATAGAATATTTGGAATATAAAAGGGAGAGTTTTCTCACCTTTAAAGCTTAGGCTTTGTTTACTTGTCTTTTCTATTGTGTGTGATTCCTCTAGAAAGCAAGTTGAATATCTGTCTTTGTATGCGATTCACATAGATATTGATTTGTGTTCTTATCACAAAGTCATTCCACAACTTTGTGTGGCGAACTTCGGTCCATCCATCCACTTGAGTCCATAGAGAGCGCCGTACGACCAGCTATAGATTCACCATCCATTATCCTTTGTAAGAACAACCCCATTTGTTCATACATCAAATTGTGCCCTTATAAGACTTGTTAGAGAGTTTATAAATTTTATTACTTACCGAATGACTACAATTAGCCTCATCTCGCATTACCAAGAAATGGACACCCGGAAGTAAAAAGATTAGTGATGTTAAAACGGACTTTCACCCAAGTATTTTGTTCACATGGAACCTCAAAAAGGCAGTAAGGAGATACATGATTGGTGGCAAACCACATGAGGATTGAGCTATCGGTAAACTCGTGTCCGCTCAAAGATCCTCCTCTGAATGGTGTTCAAGCTTCAATTTATCATGTTTGGAAAAGAACCACCACCGTTTCCAGGATCTGGTTCATATCTCTTTTTTTTAAATGATTAAGAGGTTCTGGGCCTAGGCCGTACATCTCCTCAGGCCAAGGACCAAAGCATTTTATATAGTCCCCTCCCAAATGTCACTCGAACCGGCAACCTCTAGGCTTTGTGAGAGTCTTTATCAATTGAGCTATTGACACTTGGTGATTTGGTTCGTATCATCGACAAAGCCGTCAGAGACTATATACTTACTACTCGGCTGACATCAAGTTTAGTGGATCTCCTTCAGCGATAATCTTATAATCGTCTCCGTACTTAAACCCAATGAAACTCTGTAATTTCTACTTTGCTCTGTTTCATTTTCTGCTCTGCTCTCTTTTATTTTATTTTATTTTTCACTTTGGACACTTGTAAATTACCTTATTCATTCAATTAGCTTACATTTAAACAAAAAAAAAATCTAATTTATGGTAATACTAAAAATTCACTCTAATATATATTCGTTGATTAAACACATATTAGTTTAAGATATCATGCGAGGTAAATGAATTTGAACCTCTCATTTCTTTCTTATTCGCGCCATTGCACCAAGGATTAAATTATCACTTCTTTTCTTAGGGTTCAAGGATGAATGTAATATAATTTCTCTCGCTCATAGGCTTCTATATATGTTTAGTCATTTTTGTATTTCATCGTCGCCAGTTCCATAATTAACATAGAAATAACATGGGATTTGTAATAAACACAACACACACATAAAAAACTACGAGAAGCTCATAGCTACTCAAAATGTTAAAACATGCGACTTCAAGCGTTAAACAAGCTCCTCAAAACCAGCACACTTGCAGACATCTCTTCTAAATTTAGAGAGATCACAATAATTGAGAAATACATACAAAACACAAGAGGAGTTCTCACGCATACAATATATAACTCTTACACACACAACTACACAAGCCAAGCATAAATAACCCCTATTCCTCAGACAAGAGATATCGGTCAACCTCTTTAATCACTTCAACAAAGAACTGGAGCAGCCTCTTTGGGTGAGCTACCTTCTCATCAATCCTCTCATACTTCATGTTCCACTTCACCACACTTCCAGATCCTCCTTGCTTAGGGCTCACCTTCACCGTTTTCAAGAAGGTCTTGTATTCTTTCTTTAAAGGTCCCTCTAATACCCTCCACTGAATCACATTCTTCTCCATATCCACCGTCTCGATCCTATCCTTCGACACTCTTGGCTCTCCATCTGCACCAATACAGGTTCACAAATCTTATGCATACCAAAAAAAAAAAAAAAAAAAAAGAAAAAAAAAAAAAAAGAAAAAAGTCCACATCAGCTCAGCGATTCTGAAGGCGATTCTAGGGTTTTGAAGAGTTCCCTGCACGCAAGGGTTTAGGCGGCGGCCACCACCGGTGGTTTCAATGTCCGAGCCGGAAAAATCAGTCTCTCTTCCAGGAGATTCATCCTCGTCTCAAACCAAACAGCAGTCCTATGCTGCAGTGGTCAACAAGCGTCCTTCTCTTAAAAAGCACGATTTTGAAGTCAGTTTAGTCGATGGTGTCCCAACGATCAAGGTTCCTTCAGAAGTAATCAGTGATTCTGTTCCCCTTTGGGAAGATTTTCTTGTAGGTAGATTCCCTTCTACTGCTCCACATGTTGCCAAGATCCATGTCATTGTTAACAAGATATGGACTCTAGGTGATAAGTCAGTGAAAATTGATGTTTTTGAACAAAATTCTACATCAGTGAAATTCCGTATTCGAGACGCATCGACAAGATTGAGAGTGCTAAGAAGAGGTATGTGGAATATTGCAGGTATTTCTATGATTCTCGCTAAGTGGTCTCCAATTCCAGAAGACGCTCAGCCAGAAATCACTACCATGCCTCTTTGGGTTACGTTGAAGAATGTTCCCCATTCATTGTACTCCTGGAAGGGTCTTGGTTTCCTCACTAGTCCAATAGGCCATCCTATTAGGCTTCATCCGGAAACAGAATTGTGTAGTAATTTTGAAGAAGCAAAGGTATTTGTGGAAGTGAATCTGACAAAGTCACTTCCAACTACATTCAGGTTTAAATTGAATCAAAAAGATGATGCCACTGTGGAGTTCTCTTACTCGTGGCTGCCTCCCCGTTGTTCTCGTTGTGAAAAATGGGGTCATTTGGAAGATGTTTGTGTCACAAAAAAGGGTCTCCAAGTAAGGTCACTGTGGGGGAAATTGAAGAAGGTGAGATCGTGGGAGAAAATGTGTTAGTAAACACAGAGTCCTCTGTTTCTGCTCCAATGGCTGAACAAGTTGAATCTAGTCTGGCAAAGTCTACAGAAGTTTTACACGATAAAACGTTGGAAGCAGGTTCTATGCAAGAAACTCAACAGAAAAGTAAGGATACAGAGGGATGGTCTCTAGTTTCTCCAGGAAAGGGTCGAAAGAGTAATGAAAAAAACAGGAAGTCACTTGAATTTGGTCAAGTTACTATTCTCTCAGCATCACGTTTCTCTGTTCTTGATGATAACATAGAGGAGTTACACGCAAAGGAGGATGTTCCAACAGTAATGGCGGGTACAGACCAATCTAAGCAAAATATGAAAGTAGATGACACTGCTGCAAGTGATGAAACTGCTAAGAAGTCGATCCCATCAGAAAAGCTTGGCTCTTCCAGAGCAACTAGAAACACGAAAAATTCACAGAAATCCACTGCGGAGTTTCTCTCTCAACAAGCTAAGGTCCCTCCTAGCACTTCAAGTAGAAGAAACCCCAAGAAACAACATTAATGTCAAGTTTCTTTTGGAATGTGCGCCGATTTAATAAAAATAAGAAACATTCCATAGTTCGTGAATGGTTACAATCAGATTCGTTACAATTTGGATGCTTATTGGAAACATGGGTTCAAGAGAGTAAGGCTTCTCGTATCATCTCATCGGTGTTTAGAGACTGGTCTTCGATGTCTAACTATGAATTTAATCGTTTGGGAAGAATTTGGCTGGTGTGTAGAAACAATGTCAGAGTTACTCCGGTGTTTAAAAGTGGACAAGTCATTACATGTTCAATTCTGGTCGAAGGTGCAACATAAGAGGTCTTTATGTCTTTCGTTTATGCTTCAAACCTTGTAGAAGAAAGGAAAGAGTTATGGGACGATTTGAAGCATCACTACGGGTCACCTATGATGCAGAACAAGCCTTGGTCAATTATTGGCGATTTTAATGAGATTCTTGATGGGGAAGAACACTCAAATTATGAAAACTCACCAACTTTTCCTGCAGGTATGCGGGATTTCCAGGAGGTGGTTCGATTCTGCTCACTAGTTGACATGAGTTCACATGGGCCTTTGTTTACTTGGTGCAATAAGAGAGAAGAAAGAGGTCTGATTTGCAAAAAGCTTGATCGGGTGTTGGTAAATGAGGAGTGGAACAGAACCTTTCCGGATTCTTATAGTGTGTTTGAGCCTGGGGGCTGCTCAGACCACCTGAGATGCAGAATCAAGTTTGGACCAGAGCTGCAACGAAAAAGAGGTCCTTTCAAATTTTCAAATGTTCTTGCGCAGGCTCCAGAGTTTTTAGCAACGGTGCAAACTTTCTGGGACTCAACCCCTGTCTTGTATCATTCTACCTCAGCCATGTTCAGGTTTGCTAAAAAATTAAAAGCTCTTAGCCTATCTTACGAGAGTTAGGTCGCAACAACCTTCATGCACTGTCCCGGAGAGTTGACGAGGCTTTTAAAATACTCTGTGATAAGCAAAAGGATACTCTTGATTCTCCTACCATGGCTGCAATGGCGGAAGAAGATCAAGCTTATAAAACTTGGGAGCATGTTACTAATCTCGAAGAGGGATTCTTGAAACAGAAATCTAAGTTGCACTGGCTTAATGTGGGGGATAAGAACAACAAGTATTGTCACAATGCAGTGAAGACCAGTATTGGGATATGATATCAGTTATCTTCGGAAATCATATCCCGTATGTTTAGCACCTAGAATTATTAGTTTCCATATTCTTCTCTGTAATTATTTGATCGCTTAGGTTTGGGGATCACACCTCTGTGATATATATATGTAATCAAACCTCAAGTAAATATACTGAATCATTCAGCCTCCATTGACGTCTCTGTTATTTCATGGTATCAGAGCTTGAAACACAAACACCCTAATTTTTTTTTTTTTTTTCGATTTTGTTGACCATGGCTGAACCAATCCCGAACACGACAACTGTTGAGGTGAGACGCAAGATCTCTCCGTACGATCTGACCGCCAATGACAACCCTGGAGCCGTGATCTCTCATCCTTTGTTGAAAGGAATGAATTACGAAGAATGGGCGTGTGGTATGAAAACTGCACTTTGCTCACGAAAGAAATTTGGATTCCTTGATGGATCCATCGCTCGACCAGCAGAAGGGTCTCCTGATTTGGAAGATTGGTGGACCATTCAGGCGTTGCTGGTCTCTTGGATTCGGATGACTATCGATCCTTCACTGCTCTCCAACATCTCTCATCGAGACATAGCCAAGGATCTATGGGACCACTTGAAGAAGCGTTTCTCTGTAACCAACGGGCCACGTATCCAGCAACTCAAAGCAGATCTGGCTTGCTGTAAGCAGAGAGGGCTTGCGATCGAAGCCTACTACGGCAAATTGAACCGTATTTGGGACAGCATGGCAAACCACAGACCTCTACGTGTTTGCAAATGCGGCAAGTGCGAGTGTAATCTTAATACACTGCAGGAACAAGATAGAGAGGAAGACAAGGTCCATGATTTTTTGGCCGGTCTTGATGATACTTTCACCACAGTGAGGTCCAGCTTGGTGTCACGTATACCAATTCAACCTATGGAGGAAGTCTACAATGTGGTGCGTCAAGAAGAAGATTTGAAAAATAATGTGAAAAAAGGAGACGAAGCTGCTGAAGTAACCGCATATGCAGTCCAGCAGCGAGGTCGTGTGCGACCAGTGGTGCATTCTGATGAAGGGACGGTGATGTGCAGACACTGCAACCGTGGTGGTCACTCTTCTGACAGCTGTTTCGCGGTGGTCGGATATCCTGAATGGTGGGGGGATCGTCCAAGAAGCAGAACAATGCAGAGCAGAGGCCGTGGTGGATCTTTTGCTGGACGAGGTCGTAACACGAGCTATGCAAATGCAGTTCATGTTCCGAATATATCGACTCAGGAACATGTTAATCATGTGATCACAGACAAGGATCGGGACGGCGTGACCGGTTTGAATGACATTCAGTGGCAAAACCTTAAAAAGCTTCTGAATGGTGGCGTTAATGGTGGAGCTAGTACCAGCAACGAAAAACTCTCGTGTAAAATCTCTTCTCCTTCTTGGATATTAGATACAGGAGCTTCACATCATTTAACGGGAAACTTAGATACTCTCACAAACATAAGGAATATGGATCCGGTGTTAGTAATTTTGGCAGATGGGCGAGAAAGAATCTCGTTTACAGAAGGAACTGTAGTGTTGGGATCAGATCTGGTTTTGAAATCGGTTTTTTATGTTGAAGAATTGCACACTGATCTTATATCGGTAGGACAGTTAATGGATGAAAATCGGTGTGTGGTACAAATGGCTGATCAGTTTCTAATCATTCAGGACCGCGTTTCGAGGACGATGATTGGGGCTGGTAAAAGAGATTCTGGAACTTTCCGCTTATGCAGAATGGAGTTGGTGGCGTCGGTTACAATGGAGGATGCGAAAGCTTATGAGTTGTGGCATAATAGGATGGGACATCCGTCTGCTAGAGTAGTTGGTTCTCTTCCACATGTTTCTGTTTCTGTTGATTCTGAAATTTCCAATAAGGCGTGTGATGTTTGTTTCCGCGCCAAGCAAACTAGATCGAGTTTTCCGATCAGTGATAATAAAACTTCGTCTATTTTTGAAATCATTCACTGTGATCTTTGGGGACCGTATCGAACACCGTCTTCCTCCGGTGCTCGTTATTTTCTTACAATAGTAGATGATTTCTCCCGCAGTGTATGGATTTATCTTCAGCAAGATAAAACAGAAACGTCAACAAATTTGAAAGCTTTACTCGCTATGGCTGAACGACAATTTCACAAACAAGTGAAATGTGTTAGAAGCGACAATGGGACAGAATTTGTGAGTATGGGAGGGTTCTTTCGTGCTCAAGGAATTCGACACGAAACGTCATGTGTTGCCACACCACAGCAGAATGGGCGCGTCGAGCGAAAGCATCGACACATTTTGAATGTAGCTAGAGCATTGCGTTTTCAATCAAGTTTACCAATCAGTT